GGCCGCTGGCACCCCAGGGCCCAGGCCCGGCCGGGCGACCCGGTCCTTGCGGAGGGACGGGGCTGCCGGCTCCTTCCCGCGGGGCTGCGGGGCTGCCCTGTCCTTCCTTTCCAAGCGGCCTCCTCTGCTGGGGCCACTCTGGGGCGCCCGCGTGGGGGGCCGGAGCCCTCCGGGATCCAGAGGAAGGAAGAAAATGTGTAGATAATCGTTTCCCATCACTTTTTGTCTTTTGTTCTTTTTAAATATACATTTTATTTTTTTGAAGGCGTGGTACACTGTAAATTAAATATATTCGCTATATCCCCACCAAGTACATATATATATAAGCAGCTCACCGCCTGTGTACACATCACGCTGTCTTCATTTCGTGTCCAGAAGACTCCGACGCCCGACGGCGAGCGACGCCTGGGCTTGGCCGGCGCCCCTGGGCCTGCGGGCTGAGGGGGGCCCAGGACCTCAGCCTGACGAGGGAGAACTCTCTTTGCCTTAAACCTCTTTATTTCACTGGATAAGTTTCCCTTTGTACAGATGATGGCAAACCTTTTTTAAAAAGGAAACTATAAAAACAAAAGTTGTAATTTAAAATTCTGTGAATAACCACCTGCTGCTTGGGAAAGTCAATGAGATGCTAAGCCTTCGGCAGGAAGCAAAGGCTTTTGTTTTTAAGATTTTTTTCAGTTTATAAAACACGTGCATTTTCCAGTTCCAGTATCAAATATTTATAATCTTATAAGAAATGAATGTTTCCGTTTACAGAGTGGTCATCAGATTGTGAACATTCCCTGCATTTTTGTGTGTTTAAATCCTTGGAAGTTACCATAAATAAAAAACACTTTATTGTAAAATGCCGGCTGTCCCAGGCGGATGACTGTTGGAGGGGTGTTCTGGGCGCCGCTGTGGGGCTGGGAGCTGGGCGCCCTTGCCCACGTTGGTAGCCAGAAGGTGCCTGGAGGTTTGGGATGGTGAAGACACTGTGGGTGTCTCACACGTGAGCCCAGAACCACCCGGAGAGAAGGGCTGGGTGGGCTGGGCGGCAGGGCCGGGCGGCAGGTCAGTGCCCAGCCCAGAGGACAGAGGGCCGGGCGGGCAGGCAGGGAGGGGGCTCAGGCAGATGGCGCGTCCCCAGCACCGGCAGTGTTTGGAGTCTCCAGGCCCAGGCGGGCGTGCCCTGGCTCACCGGCCGCACTAGACAGTCTTGTCTCAGTAAACATTTCTCTCAGTAAAACAAATGGCAAAAGTCTCACTTCTAGGTGTTTTGGGCTCACCCCTCGCCCCATGCCGGCAGAGCTGCCCCCAGAGATGTGTCTGGAGTCCCCAGTGCAGGGCACCTCCCCGCTCCCTCCCCCCACCGGTCCCAGGGCCAAAGAGTCAAAACAAAAGCGCAGGAGCAGAGTGCCCGGCCCTCGGCTTCTGGTCTTGCTTTGTAATTTTTTATTTAATTTCGTTCAATAAATCAATTCCACTTAACTTACCATCTCTCAGAAAACTCAGACGGAAACAAAAAAGATGAAACATTCTTGCTCTGTGTTTTCGAGCAGCGAGCAGGCCACGGCGAGCAGAGCGGCAGCACACGGGCAAATCCTTTCCTGCTTGTTGGCGAAACACGGCGTGGTGAAGTGCTGAGCTCCCCATTGCCGAGGGCAAGCAAGGGGTGAGCCTGCTTCCTGGGGCGGAGGGTCTTGCCTACTGCCTCTGGTGGGGGGGGCTGGACAGGGCCTCGCCCTCAAAGCGCAGAGATTCTAGTTTTTCTCCATTTACCCCTTTCCCTGCCTGTCGTCTGCAGTCTGAGCCTGTTCTCAGGCCCCTGGGCCAAGCTCCCCAGGTGCCCGCTGGCCAGCTCCCGCCTGCAGGAAGGCTCCGACCTCTCCCACCTGGCCTGTTGCCCCAGCCCGGAGCTCCCCAGCCAGAAGAGCCCCCCCAGCTGAGCGGAGAGTTTGCAGAAGCCCCTGCTCCTTCCAGCTCACAGTCCCATCCCGCCGGCCACCTCTCCAAGCTCCAGGGGACCTGTGTCCACAACCTCCAGAGCCAGGTTAGGGGGGGATTTTGGGGGGTCCGCTACCACCCCAGGCCTGCCCAAACACAGGCTCGGGCAGGGTGAGTGGGGCCCAGCCGGGCTGCGGACTGCTCCCCGCCTGCTGCCAGAGCCCAGGGCCACACAGGCGGGGGCCGCAGGGGGTGGTGGGGCCCCCAGCTTCTTTGGGGGAGACCAGGAGGGAGCCACAGGACTCTTCAGCTTTTTCCTTGAGTGAAAAGGGCTGATGGCTCAGGGAGCCCGCACCGTGCGGATCCTGCAGGGACTCTGCGGTCAGCGAGCGGCAGGGCAGGCCCCCAGCGTCTTTGCTCCCCCGCTGGGCTGAAGGCTCCTGGCTCCGGGGGTCAGAACCCCTCCTCGGCTGGGGTCTTCAGTCTTCACTGGCATCTCCGACTCCCGCTCCCCGCGCCCCTCCCGGGTCCCTCCCTGCTCCCCAGGCTGAGTCCCGGCTCCCGCGAAAGCCGCAGCCCGCTGGGCGGAGCCACGCAGGA